GGCGCGGGCCTCATTAGCACCTTTTTCCCCCTCCTATGCTGACGGATGCCGCCGCGCGCTTTGCTGCCCCTCCTTGTCCTCAGATTGAGCAGCTGCAGGCGTTATGTGCAAGCAGGCTATTCCCTTTCTGCCGCTGACTCCGCGTTCATCATGAGGGGTCCACGGCAGGCCGTGCCGTCGCTTGCTGAAAATCCCACGATCTGCTTTGGACAGGGGACCAACCAGAGTGGCTGTATTCTCCAAGAATCTAGGAGCGCCTGCTGGATCTGCAGATGCGACGGCGTCGCCCCCCGTCGAGTGTCCTGGGGATTCGCGAGGGGAAGTTGCCGATAGTCGGTGCAGGCTGGTGCGTGTCGTAGACAAGCGTGAATTAGCAATAAGATGCGGTCGATGCCGGCGGGGGGACATGTGCAATTTCGCCGCATGGCGTGCCGTCATCGGAGATTGAGGACTACCTTAACTTAAGGCGATGGGTCTCCCACACGTGGGGTTGAGTTGCCGTTGGATGATTGCATTTCTAAGCTGCCCGCGGCGCGGTGTCTCCGGAGAAAACAAGAGTTTGTCTGGCTTGCGAGACTTTGCACCGAATGTTGGATAACCAACGAGACACTTGAGGATCAGCGTGACAGGTTCTGCTTGAAGGTGTTGTGAGACACTCTGGGAACGGCAAACAGCGATGACTGGCAGGACGGGAATAGCTCCTGCGCTTGTTGGAAGGCCTGGAGCTCAACCATTGCAGCCGGGGAATGCAAAGGCCTCCAATAGCTAGAGCTCAGTGCAAGGACCGGTTGGAGTGTATTTTTGGTGAGGCTCGGTGTGTCTTGGCTTGGTGTTGTTATTTTGTCCATCATCTCGATGGGCTAAGTCAGTTTCAGCGACAACGACAGCGACAGCGATGCGAACCGTCCCCAGCCTCCGCCTCTTTGCCCTTCCACTTCCCCCATCTCAGCCGGCGAGGTTTAGGCGCCGAAGTGTCTCCTTTACTCGCAATCCCACACGGGGAAGTACGAACCCCTGGCCGAAGCCCGGTATCTTGAGAAAAGAACCTCCAGCGCATCCCAGGCGCGAAGGAAGTCCAAAAACAGAAAGAAACACTTGCAACGTGCAGCAGGTTTGTCCAGGTGCAGTTACAGGAGAGAACTGCCCCACTACGAGGTGAGCGTTCGCACCGAGATGCTTTAGCGAACCGCTAGATGCCTTATCGATAATGGGGTGGGTGGCACCGGGGGACGGGGACCCGCCAGAGGCTCTGCTCTGCGCTACGATTCGATGCAGGGTCGTGCCTGGACGGCGCCGGGGAGCTGGATCGTCAAAGGAGTCAAATTTTCTGATGCCTCACTCCCGTTTCCCGTGCCCGGCGCCGCCCACTACACTGTCCACTGTTCGGACCGTTTCCAGAAGCTCTTGGCTTTCAGATGCATTGTCCATTCATGAGAGACGCCAGATGATCCGATAGGGCCTCATTCTTTTGTTGTTTCTTTGTTTGGTCCCGATTTGGCCCCTTTCGTTTCAGGAACCCGGCTGACGACGACGTTGATCTTCACGTCCCTGGTTACACTCGCTCTTGGCCCAGCTAAATGGAAGGTTGTCGCTGCGGCTGAGACCGAGACTGAGACTCTGACACCGAGAGATATCAGACCCGCTCACCGTTGATTCCAAGAATAACTGCATCGCAGATATCTTGGCGGAATCTCTGAACAACTCTCAAACCAACCTCCTGAGCCATCCAAGCGAATTGGAGCTTTGGTCTGAAGACTGCGATAGATTACGAAAGAGTGACTTCGAGGTCTGGCTTGCCTCAAGATTTCTGCCTGTCTTTGTGTCAGACGCTCAAGGCAGCTTTCAGAGAAGCCAGAAAGACAAAGAGGACAGAGGAGGGTGAGGAAACAGAAACGGGCGGGAGCAGGACTGCTCATCGAGGGTGCAAGTGCCTTCCATTGCTGGCGTACACTTTGGACAAGTCCAGTCCTGCCCTCCACGATAGTGGTGCTTGCCTCACTCGTCCCTCTTGCTGGCTTTCACCCCGTGACTGCCTGGGTGACTTCCATTTCTAGAAGGGCTACACGAGACGTTTCTACGCCACCTTCTTCCTGCTGTATCTCCAGCCAACTGCACCTGCCCTCAGCATCTCCTGAGCCAACGGAGAAGTCTTCAACACTCGGGGAAGAGGCCATATTGTGACATTCCCAGTAACAGCAAGAAGCTGTTCCTAGTTTGTTCAGGGTAGGAGTCACTTATCGTGCTACTGCCACCCACGGAACGACGCGCAGGAACCGGTCCACGTCCTTTGGGGCTCTTTCTTGTCGTTCGTCGTCTACTTCTCCGATCACTCGACCAGAAACCACAACATCTCCCGACTCCAGGGAACCCCAGCTTCGACTCTTTTTTGGCGATTTGTTCCATCACCATAACTCAAATCAGGATTGAAACCTTGTCACCAGCTTACCAAGACAAGCGTTTTGCCAGTTCGCAGACGGGAAACCAGTATATTCGTCCTTCTACGAAACCGACGTTTCCTGCCCGGTTCGGTGGTGTTCTGTTTCGTTGCGTCAATCATCGTCGAACATCGCTGTCAGTCGCTCGGTTTACCTGCCAGGCCTTGCCTCGTGTCAATGTGAGTCAGAGCATCAATCGTCACGGTTCACGCCTTGTATCCCCCAGTCTATTAACACACCCAAGACTCCCCTCTTCCACTCATTCCAGCTACGAGCTCAACGTTGTACAAAAAAGAACACCGTCAAAATGCTCGCAGTCGAACGCTCTACGCTTCCAGAGGCTGTATCTGACAACACAGAGCTGCGATCCGAGGAGAAGCCGGAGCACACTGGACCCGATGTTATCCAGCCGCATCCCCTCGTTGACGAGCTTCTGCCGCAGCAACTCGGCCGTGGCGTTCTCATCCCCTTGAAGACAACTCTGGAAATCCGACAAGACCACACCATTGTCCAGGCCTTGCTTACCAGAGCTCCAGCCAAGTCTACCAATGATGTCGTCAAGTAAGTTGAAGCTACCTGCAGTGACATGAAGAACCAATGTTAACATCATTGTAGTCTTCTCCGCTCGATGCTTCCTGAGGGCGTAGCTAACAGCTTGCCTCACCTGCGTCGATGCGCGAAGCCGGCCGATATCCCGGCTCACCTCAAGACGCAGTTCATGAACGACTCCCCAGAGGGTCGCCAAGTTCACACCGGGAAGTCGACCTGGATCTACATCATGCTCGGCGAGGAAAAGGACTTCGACAGACAGAAGTTGGTGGCATCTTTGACCGCCATCGACGGCATGGAGGAGAACTTCTTCCTCACTAGCATCCCCATTCCCCTAGTCCCGCCCACTTCGCAGGTGCAAGCGGCCATGTGGACTTCGCAGTTCTGGCCTACGGTGTACCGGAAGAACAACCCCCTTGGACCCCATCCTAGCATGGTGGGACGTTCTACCGATACCATTAGAGATGAGACATCTCTGTGGATGTCTCTCGCTCATCGTGCTGCCATCAAAGCAAAGCAGACGGGTATTGGCGAGCCCATGGGAGCCGTCATTGTCCAGCGCGAGGGCGGAAAGTCCGAGCTGGTGGCGATTGCCGGAGATGCTCGTTGGCACCAGGAACCCAACAGACGCGGTACCGGCAATCCCATGGGACACTGCGTTCTCAGAGCCATCAGCATGGTTGCACAGAAGCTTGTTCGCCACGAGAGACGTGCATCTGGTCGATCCAACAACTCCCCTTTCCTCGAGTACGACGCTTTCCAAGACAAGCCCCTTCTTGACGACGAGAAGATTGTCTTCGAAGACGAGCACCCCAACGCAGACGGCTACCTGTGCCACGGCATGGAGATGTACCTGACCCATGAGCCTTGCGTCCAGTGCTCCATGGCTATCCTTCATTCGCGCATGGGCAAAGTCGTTTTCGCACAGCGCATGCCGCTTACCGGGGGCATGTGCTCTGAGGACCGTGGCCACGGTCACCCTGAGCTGGAGAGCTGCGGTGGTGGCGAGGGCCTCGGTCTCTTTTGGAGACGTGAGCTGAACTGGAGCTTGCTGGCGTGGGAGTGGGAGTCGAGCGACTGTGTGGGACCTTTGCCGCCGGTTGATCACAGAGTCCATGCTTAGTCCCCATGGGACTTGACGACAATACCTTGGTGCTTATGGCTGGGAAACCGGCCTAGGCTTAAGCAGTCTTTATGTGGAAGGAGGCCATCTGAGAGGATGGAAGCTCTCGGCTATCTCGACGCGCCATTATCAATATCACCTGTACGCAGACCTTGCGTCGGCTCTTTAACAGCCTCTGTTTATCTCATTTTCCCTGGTGTAGTTGGTTGAGACATGGGTTTGGAGGGCCAACAGAGGGTTTAGATAGTCCTCTCAGCTCCAGTCGGAAATGCGGCGTTAGGAGGAAACCTCAAGAGTAGGTCGATGGAGGTACGGGCAGGAATTATACCCAGGGCTGTCTCATGTGTATTATGCAGCAGCCTAACAATGAACAATGTTTCTTTTTCCACCTATTCTTGTTTGGACAAGGTCTACAAAGAGTGAAGTTGAGATGAATTCAATTCAGCCGGCCGCCATTGTTCGGCCGAAACGGACCGCCGCTATTGACGAACAGACGTTTGGCTGACGGCAAGGCAAGCCGCGCTAAGGCATGTTACCTTACCTTAAGCTCTGCTGCTGTGCTGTGCCGCGATTTTACTGCGGGGAAAGGCGGATTCTTATCTTATCAGCCAGTACGATCCCACTGATAGACACGCGGTGAAGCGCCGTGCGACTCTCTTTTCGCAACACCAGCCGCTGTGGTCCTTCCTCACAGGCCTTTGCCGCCTTCCTCATTCTTTCCCGTTGCGCTCAGTATTTCGGCATGCGCGCGGACGAAAGGAGTTGCAGAGAAACGATTTCTGATTTCGCATCGCTCAAGTGTGTTATTCCGCGACAAACGCGCATGCAATGACCCGCCTTTGACTCCTCCACTCCCACGCGACTCGCACATGGGTAGCTCTCGTACCAACTGAATGCGATTCCAAGCCTCCCCGGCAAAGACCGTTGACCGAATCCTCCTCTGCGGACAAGCTCTCAAAATACTCTTACCGCCTGCGACGCAACCAAACCGGGTTATTAAAAGAGACCTGAGCTCAGGGAGCTGGTGGAAAAGAAGGGCCGAAACGGACGGGCAACCGGAGAAACTTTTCACGATCCTGCGAAACCTACTCGACGACATGCCAGCCAAGAGGACTGCATCTGCAATGGCCGATGCGACGAAATCCAAAAAGCGCAAGGATGAGAAGAAGTGGTACGCTGTCAAGGTTGGTCTCCGACCGGGCGTGTACGAGACGTGGGAAGAGTGCTCAGAGAATACCAACCACCAACGAGGAGCCGTATGTGAGTGAACCGTCCATTGTTCTGCAATCTAGCTGGTTGGGACCATTGGCTAACAACGGTTTATGATACAGACAAGTCCTTCACCTCTAAGGAAGATGCGGAGGCGTTCGTGGCGGGAAAGAAGATTCCGAACAGAGGCGGCAAGGCGGAACCCATCAAGTACTACGCTGTAGCGCGCGGCAACTTCACTGGCATCTTTCACGACTGGGACAAAGCCAGCAAGGCGATCTACAAGTCAACGAAGCCCAAGTACAAGAAGTTCGACACCCTCGGAGAGGCAGTCCGATTCATAAAGGAGTATGGCGACGAAGACACAATCGACAAGGTTCAGACCCTGGTCGATGGTGATTCTGAGTTCGAATCCGAGGTCGAGGAACATGATGAACTTGAGCCAGGCTTGGTTCATATATACACGGACGGCAGTGGTCTCGGCAATGGATATCCCAAGGCCCGGGCAGGCATGGGCGTGTACTTTGGGCCCAGCGATTCCAGGTATGTCGCCCTGGACTTGACTTTCAAGCGCCTACCCGTGTAGAAAGTTCCAAAATTTCAATCGATACCGCAAATCTTAGTAATGCTGATCTCTGTCTAGAAATATCTCTGAACGTCTTGAGGGCGAGTACCAAACGAACCAGCGCGCCGAACTTTTCGCAGTCTTGCGTGCGCTGGAAAACGTTCCAGTCACAGAGGGAGTGCAGATTCTCACGGATAGTAGATATGCCATCAATTGCATTCAGAAGTGGGCTCCGATTTGGGCAGGTCGAGACTGGAAGACGGTAGCCTCTAGTAGCGACGTCACGAACAAGGACGTTGTCCAGGCCATTATGAAGAAGATTGTTGAACGCGAGGCCAAGCACACGAGGACCGTATTTACCTGGGTCAAGGGACATTCGAAATACCCTGGAAACGTAGAGGCGGACAAACTCGCTGTTGCAGCCGCTTATTTGGAGCAGAAAAACCCTGTGATGGAGATTAAGGAAAGGCAGCAAGCAGAAGCTGCTGCGGAAGCTAAGAAAACCAAGACACGGAAGAAGCTGAAGTCGGAGAGACACGCAACTTTGAAGAATGGAGAGAGTCCCGAATTGGACCTCAGGTTTGAGAAGGAAGAAACTCCTGACCTCGACGACTACTCGAGCATGCCTTAGGTTGCAACGGAAGATGAACCTGAGGGTGTAGCCACGCCTATGCGCTGGCAATGGACAGAGTCGGTGACCGACATGATGCAAAAGGGTTGCTATGCCTGGCTCGATGCATGGATGCAAGCGTCCCTTCCTAAACCATCGTATCTTCCGCTCTTGGCAGATACGAGTCTTGGTGTCTGGATCCCACGTTGAAAGGTTTAGGGGCCTGCTCCTACGCAGTCTCAAGGCTAGCCCTAGCCTCTGCTTTCAGCGGCTAACGGCTTCGGGTTTCTACTGAAGGGAGGAGCTGTACACTGCACACGATAGGGAGACGGTGAGGATGTTTGACTTGTTTCTATCATAGCGGCAAAGGGTTTGCGGGAAGGTTCTTCTAGTTCATCGTGGAAACGGAGTATCCGGTGCTTCGTTTTGGCGGAATGATAGTCTTTTCTTTGCAATGGAGATATCCCCTCAGTAACCAGCGAAACCTCTATAAGCTTCACGTAGTTCTATCCCTGACAACTGAAGTGCTGCGACCATTACTTATGCAGTATGCTCAACTGTTTAACGCACCTTACAACCCTAGTGTCGGTTGTAGTACGTAGCGGTCTGTCTGAACATGTCTCACGATTCAGACTCGTGGCGCTGCAGGTTCATATTTTCACGAATATCGCAAACCGAATCTCGCCCGCATCTTTCCCGACTTTCCAGCCGCAGTCTCCAGGTTCCCCATCCGCCCGGGCTTGCTTGCCGAAGACTGATACGGCCAGCGTTGTGCATTGTCGAGTTAGGCAGAGATACATTAAATGCGCCAGGGAGTTTACAAAGAAAGACAATAGCCAGACAGCTGCAACTGAATGTATCTCTGCCATCAAACCGATACCGCCTAGCTTCCTTCGGAAGACTACAATAGACAACCTTGCGCCAATCCTTCTGACCGGGCGGCTTTGCTGCCCCACGTGTCAAGCCTGAGCTTTGCGCGCGGGCAGAATCGGTTTACAGGGACGTAAACAAAGGGACCCCTACTATCCGTATTCCCCCCCCCCCAATTAGAAAGCGGTGATGATGCACTGATCGCACACACGTACCTTTGGAAAAAAAAAAAAAAAAGGCTGCGGCGTTCGTCCCGTCTACCGACCTAGTCGTTCCCTGTCGCCACGCCACTGTCTCCTTTCTTCTTCTCTTCTTTCTCCTCTCCGCCACTGTCGCAGACCTGCCCAGACTTACTTCTTGATACTTGTAACCCCGCCAATTCTGGCTCACTGCATCAATATTCCGCATCTACTGTCCAGATAAGGACCATTGTGCAGTCGCCAGAGATCGCTGCGACCCAATCAAAAGGCCGACGTCATCAGCAAGGCCCGCCTCTTTGACAGACCGCCTCGATTGTCTCAGTCCCCTTGAGGATCCTCACACAGCGAAGAGGTCGGCGACAGCAACGAGCAGGACGCAAGGGAGAGCGAAAGACGGACGGAACGCACCCCAATGACAGTCAGCCACGCAAGCGCCGCATTCCTCGTCGTCACTCTGAACCACGCGATTCGATAACAACCTACTACCCTTGAATAGGGCAAGGAGACAAAACACACACCATTTTGTTTGCATATTCGAGATTGACCGGTGCAGGGCCCGGTCTCTGTTTGCTTGGCTACGTGGTAGTGCCCGATCGCGACTCTCATTGGAGCATCTTGCAGAAGATCGCGGGGTCATCTTGGGCTGCCATACGTAAATTGTGGGCAAAGGGCCCTTGGCAAAAGCTTGGTTGGCTAGTTTTGCGACCGAAACACAGACGCGATGCCTACTTTGGCGGTTACCAACTTCAACATCATTGTCGGTGTGCTGGGAGGATGGATATCGCTGTTCGGACTCGTGTCGTACCTCTGCAAGGAGAACTACTACCTGTCTGAAGCTCGTAAGTTTTGCCATTCGACTGCACATCTCCCCCACGATACTCAAGGTGGCTGACAAGACTCGGCAGTGATTTCCCTCTTGGCAGGCGTAGCCTTCTCGCCCCCAGCCGCCAATCTTATCAGACCGCTGGAATACGCCGGCACCGAGGAAAATGTCGACAGCGTCACCCTCGCCTTCTCCCGCCTCGTCCTCGGCGTGCAGCTCGTCCTCGCCGGCGTGCAGCTGCCCAGCCGCTACCTCCGCACCCAATGGAAGCCCATGGCCCTTCTCGTCGGGCCCGTCATGACCTGCATGTGGCTCGCGACGAGCCTGCTTGTCTGGGGCTTGGTGCCGCACCTGCCGTTCCTGCACGCGCTCGCCGTCGGCGCCTGCGTTACGCCCACAGACCCTGTGCTGTCCAACGTTATTGTCAAGGGGCGATTTGCGGATCACAACATCCCCAAGGAGCTGCAAAACTTGATCATTGCTGAAAGCGGAGCAAATGACGGACTGGGATATCCATTCTTGTTCTTCGCGCTGTATTTGATCAAGTACATTGGCGATGGCGGCAAGCAGCAGTCTGGAGGGGCTGGCCTCGCGATGGGCTTGTGGTTTGGAGAGACGTGGGGGTACACCATCATTCTGAGCGTCATTTACGGTGCCGCTGTGGGTTGGCTAGCGAGAGTCTTACTCAGGTGGGCAGAGAGCCACAAGTACGTTGACCGCGAGAGCTTCCTGGTGTTTGCGATCTCGCTGGCGCTCTTCATCGTGGGCACGTGTGGAATGATTGGTAGCGATGATGTGCTGGCGTGCTTCATTGCCGGCAACGCCTTCACCTGGGACGATTGGTTCCGTCTCGCCACCGTTGATGATTCACTACAGCCCACCTTGGACATGCTTCTGAATGTCTCCGTCTTCTTGTGGTACGGAGCCGTCATCCCCTGGACCTCGTTCCTTCACAACGAAGTTATCCCGATCTACCGGCTCATCCCACTGGGCATCCTCGTCCTGATGCTCAGGCGGCTTCCGTTCGTTTTTGCAATCCACAAGATCATCCCGCAGATCGAGGAGGTAAAGCAGGCCATCTTTGTCGGCTTCTTTGGCCCCATAGGGGTGTCTGCCGTGTTTTACCTTTATGTTACACTCGAGTTCTTGCACACCCTCAACGAGGGCGAAGAGCCGCGATCTGACGTCAAGAATATGGGTGAGGTCGTCCGAGTTGTCGTCTGGTTCCTCGCAGTCTGCAGTATAGTAAGTGACCCGCTACCACGTCCACGCTGAGAAGAGCCGGTATAATATAAACATAGGTGGTCCACGGGCTGAGCATCCCACTCGGCAAGCTCGGCTACTACGCGCCCCGGACGCTATCCCGAGGTGTCTCATTCATGAGCAGTGACGGTGACGAGCCGCGCTCGTTCCGCATCCGCGGCAGAGCTGCATTCCCGTTCAGCCGGTCCAGGTCCATGGCATCCAATGGAGTCGCGGATGCCGAGTCCGGCACCCCGTCCGACAACGAGGGTGGCCGGACAGTCTACAGGATTGGAGGTTCCATCATCCCCCGAAGGATGGCTGATGGTGCTACTTCAGGCACGTCCACGCCGAAGCGTGCCGATGATCCGCCCCGTCCAGGTCCCGAGGCCGGAGATGTCCGGACTGAGGGGGTGGCCGACCAGCCACCGCCACTCGAGCTTCCCAATCGCACCATCCGGTTCCCTGACGAGGCGCCTGCGGCCCAGGAATCTCCCCGGGAGCCGCCGAATCTGTGATATGAACTAGCAATATTGCAGCAGCATGCAGCAGTTCAGTGAAGAAGACTCCTGCGTGTAAGTGTTTTGCGTAAGTTGAATATGCGGACGCCGTTTTATGACGGTCGTGTAGATTGGCTGGATAGCCAGCCAGCCATGTATGGAGATGTCCGTGTTTATAAGGAACACCCGGGCAGAGAGGCTTTGAGGCTTTCCCGCTTCCCGCTTCCCGCTTTCCGCTTTTTGCCGCCAATAAGGTCTCATGGCGTTCAGAGCTGGACCTATTCCTGTTTTCTGAACCCAGAGAGTCTAGACCCCAATCAAATTTGTGTGTACATCTGCATTTAGATAGTTGCTTTTCAATAATTAGACATCACTTTCCTCTGATCTGTCGTCGTCGTTGGTTCGGGCCGCCCTTTTCTGCAGTGCGCTACTATTGGACTGCCACCTGCGTGCGAGAGATGTCCGGGGTCGGATTGCTGTACGACGCCAGCCGAAGCCTGCTCATCGGCGGTTCCTTCGATAGCTGATCCTGGATTACGAATGAACTAGGATAACCGCCGCCCCCGGGTCCAGCTGATAACTCTTTCTGGGTTTCGTTCTAGGTCAGATGAAGGCCAACTTTCATGCGCCGCACTCTCAGAGGCGCAAGGTTTACATAATGAGTTTATGCAGGCTGTGCTCATTCAATCATCTTTTTGCGCGTAGAAGTAAAAATCCTTCTGTGCCAGCAGGTTGCGGACGATTATGACGGGTGATACAGAACGGCAAAAGGCTGAAGGGGGGGGGCGATTGCAATTTGGGTGTGTGTTGAGGGCGGTTTTTGCGAGATTCGGAGCGACGTCGGGGCTGACAGGTTCAAGCGTTGCATCATTGGGGATGAGGAGGAGGTTAGCTGGGACGGCGGCGTTGCGGTAAAGAAAACCGCTCAGACGGGCGAGGCGAGGCGTGGGCTGGAAGCTAGACAAGGCCGCCACGGAAAGGAACATGATCGACTTTGTTGAATATTTTCTTGCTGACAGCACCGAGGAACGATAATGGTGGTTGGTGGTGGTGTCGTGTGTGGGTTGCGGTAGTGGTGCAGCTTGACACCATCCTGCGGAAGGGGTTGCATTCATCGCCAGGTTCTGGTTCCTGACGTTGGGGAAAGCGCTGCGGGAGCCTATCAGTGCATCCCGAAAGAGTTGACATCGGATATGCAAGATGCACGACGTCGCCCGCGTCCGTTTTGATATCGTGCTCAGCCCGTCATCTGCCGGTCTGCCGTGATATTTGGGGCCGCTTGCCTGCAACAAACCACTAAGAGATGCGTACCAGGTAACTGCGGGCTTGGGTGTAGATCAGCCCGGCGTGTGTTGCAGATAATATCAGAGTGTCTAGTGTATTGTGTATATGGGGAAATGAGAGAGGTAACAGAGCCAATGGGATGCATGACTCCCGAGCCGTGAGTCGGGGGAGCAGAGAATGTCTTGGACCGTGTGAAGAAGATCGAGAGGTTTCTGGAAGAATGGGTAAGTAGGGAGCTTTCGTGGGTAGTAGAACGGTCCGGCCGAAGTTAAGTTTAGGAGACGCCGCAAGGTCGCATCATCTGTTGTTGAGGAAGGTGCTTGAGGAGTTGCTGCATAGTAAGAGCAACTAAGGTCTGAGGCACCTGGCCTTGCAGTTGTATGGTACACTACCTTGCAAGTACATGATTAGGTTCGCCGGGAACGCACCCAGAACATGAACCGACCACTATAGCCCGTGGTGTTTTATCCGTCGGCTTCAAGCTTGCTTAGCGGCAAGAGGTAGCTAAGCGCTCAGCGCTGAGACGGCCGGCCGTGTGTTCGGAGGTGGATGACAGAGTCCGTGAGAGAGTTAGTTTCTGTGCGGCAGTGGTTGGTTCGGTGTAACTAGAGTCCAGAAGAAAAGGTCAAGATGCTGCTTTCGTCCACAACGGAGTAACGGCCGTCAGTCAATATTGTGTGAGAAATGAGAAGTCATCTGTACATTATTAGAATAAGCACGCCACCTAACCCAAAGCGTCTCTGTTGGTGGAGCAAGAGAAGGGGAAACCTGGCGATGGCTTCCACGATGGCGGGCGATGAATGTCTGCGTACGAACAAGAACGAGATCGTATCCGTACTCTTTCCGTGTCGGAGTCGGCCGCCGTTGTTGAGTTCGGTTGCGAGTTGAGGCCAGTTCTCAAGATTGCCTTGCCTTGGTTGGTTTGCAGAGAATATGCTGCAAGATGAGGGAGGACTGACGTTGGTTGTTGGCCAGGTGCTCGTCAGCGCCGGGGGGAGGCAAGTCAGAGCAAGGAAGGCAGTGGCGGGATTGCGACGCTGGTGCATGGCCATGCGCACCTACTTCCCAACCAACCACACCTACCTTGCCTAGTTACCATAGGTAGGTATTCGTAGGTAGGTCCTGTTGGCCACACCTCGGTCAGCCCAGTGGGACCCGACTGATCAGGGCCTTGGGAGGCGCCTAGGCAGGCAGGCAGGCATGCCGTAAGAGTTCTTGGACGTCTGGATTGAATGAAACAGTGCAAGTGGAATGGGGGGAGGGGCCCCGAGGAATGAGGGCGATCCTCTCTGGGCTGAAGTGGGTGCGACATTGGCCAGCGGATTGGCAGAAATACTGCGCAAACGAGAGCAGAGTGAGTCGTTCTTGAGGGCGGTCATCTCAGTCACCTGCGGTAGTGTAATGTCGCAATTTACCAGGACTCCGTACCCGTGGATTCGACGCGTGTGTTTTAGATGCCCTGGGCTGCCGTGCATCTCAGAGTTGCCCTGAATGGAGCAGGTGTTGCGCTGCTCGTTGCCCGTTGCATGCTGCACAATGCGGCTGCTTATCAGTTGGAGCTGACGAGCCAGACCCCAACGATGGAAGGGAGGCGGCTGTGGTCTTGTTACTCATCAGCTTATCCATACCTTAAGGTACCTACCTTAGGTACCTATTTGAGGTCGCACTGTATTTAGACCCTCCAGTCGAGTTTTGTGCTAAAACAAGTAAAATGCCCATTGGACCAAAAAGAGAGTGGCTTGAGCGAAGTTCGGGCACTCGAGTGGACGCTCGGAGGAAGACTGCCATCTGTCTTGGCGGCGCATGGCGCAGGTGCCACACGGTGCTTTCGCGTAAGTCTTCCGCCGCCTAGCACGGTACGTACCTACCTTAGCTGTCTCCCTTTCCCACATAGTACTCAGCACGCAGCAACTTCTCAAGAAGCGCGGGGGTTTTTTTTTTTTTTTGGCTGCCCACGAACCCACGCCCCTCTCAAACTGGATCTTTCCACTGTGCTCGAACACTGAGCTGGCCATTTGCGCGCGTTGTTCCATGAGCAGAGTGGACCGTAACTGCAGCAGCAGATGCAGAGGACAGGATCAGGCAATGAGAGAGAGGTACGCAAAAAGAAGAAAAAAAAAGACGTCGTATCAAAAGGGCCCTGGGTAAGGTGTACGCATCCAAGTGGACACCTCAGATGAACGAAGGGTTAGGCAGGCAGGCATTTATCACTTCCACCCTGAGAAAGTAAGAAGAAAAAAACGCAGTTCCAAAACAAAAAACCAACCTACCTAAGGACCCAAGGGCAAGGACTGGCGTTGGAACTTGGCACTGGCGCTGGCGGTTCGGGAAGCACAGGGCGTCAGTCAGTTCCAGCTCCTTCAACACGACCCGGTGAAGGTTGCTTGTCTTCCGTGCCCTCCCTCTGACCTTCTTGCAGCAGAGCATTCGCCTTCATCTTGCCAACTTGGGAAGCTTGAGCACTGGGCACCCCGACGCCACAACGCCGCCGTGTAGCTTCACCTCTCTCGGCTGCGGAAACATGGCCCGGAAGCTTTGGTCTGCCATACTCTGTGTGCCGATGTTTCGTTCCAACCTGCCAGTCCCTGCCAGCAGCATGTTCTTTTGTGTGTTTTCCCGAGGACGACGGGGGATGTAGATACAGACGCATGCTATGCTACGTAGCTACACCACAACGTCCTGCAAGGTAGATCGGAGGAGGGACGGGTTGATAGCGGACAAGATTCAGACCGGACATGATCGTACTCGTTCAGTCCTGCATCCCAACCTTGCCCGAGCTTGCGTCAGGTCGCTTCCTATCTTCGGCCGCCTCTCTACTTAACTCGATGCTATTGCTATCCTTGACGCCGTACGTAGACGCCGCCGCTGCGTCTGGCCCTGCATTTGGCTGATGTACAAGCACACACAACAACAACATTCAGGCACACATCACCGACTTTAGGCTCCGTGGCTACCAATTCACAAACAATCAAAACGCCTTCGCTCCACATTTCCTTCCATTTCGCCATTATTGGTGCTGTCGACGTGTCTGTGCCTGTGTCTTTGATTCGGCTGCTGCCCGGGTTGCCGCACCAGACGTACCAGAGTGGCTCTCTGTAGCTCGCTCGTTGCATACGGACCGACCTCTGTTTCTGAGTCTTTTTCTTGAGAGCAGGTTCTGGAGGGGCGTTGTTCTTTGCGCCGCTCTTCACTCCAATTGAGCCAAATCCAGCGAGAGTTGTTGCCTCTTCTCTTCATCCCAGAAACCTCGCCGGTCACCGGGGGCCAAGGTTGCACAACACCGATCGGCATCCCGTCTGCTCGTTGATACCACCACCCTCTCTACTCTGTACCGCACAGCCGTCTGGACATTCCTATCTTCCATCTCTCGTCAACGGCCGCCGCACCACCACCAACACCATCGGTCTGGACGCACTGCAACTGGCATTGGCACGACGGACATTGGCTAGACTGATTGGCATCATCTATGCCCCCGATTTGCGTCGCCCATTGTGCCCCTCCCCCTGTTCAGTCCAGTCCAGTCCAGGGCAGCATTTTTGGAGTCACCGCTCAGAGGGACAGGTTCGTTTTTGAGACATTGTTACCGCCTCGACTGTCCGTCCATACGTACATGCGCCCAGCACCAAGACGTTTGTTTGGTGGGATAGCTGGATGCTGGCGACGAATAGACCAGAGAAGCCACAGACCAAGACACGCTGCCTCCGATTCTGGGCGTAAAATTTCCGTGCAGGCTTTTCCTGCCTCCCTCCCTCTGCCCATCCTAACCTAACCTAATATTACCACTCCCCTTCTCGAACGGGGGAAACAAGAAAAAAAAAAAAACAATCTAACGAATCCCTCGCACACTTTCTCACTCCCCTACTCTCCAACTTTCTCCGGCGACAATTCTCTCGGGCAGAAAGAAAGAAAGACAGACAGACAGACAGACAGACAGAGAAGACATTCGCTTCCCGGCGCCACGATGGACTCCTAGGTCGCCCTACCCATCTCAGCTCCGCACCGTACAGATTGCACTCTGCAACGACGCAAACCTACGAACGACAGGCACCAGGCCGCTTTCCTAGGTGACAACCTACCGTGCCTACCTTACCGCACAATTCCTCCGACGGCATTTCCTCAGGGTCTGTTGCACCGTGTATCCGCACCGGCCGCACCGCCCCCCGCGACACTCACCTGCGCAGTGTGCCCAGCCCAGCCCGGCCCTGCCCAGTGCGACGCACCCGCTTCCGCACTCCCACTCCCACTTTTACTCGCACCTTCGCCCTCTCGCAGTCGTGGCCTCCTTGCAAAACTGTGAACTCGCGACTCCCACGTCGGACTCGCATTAGAGGGACACAGTGCTGTGGGCCCCCACTCCACCGCCTGGGCTACACCACTTTACCACGAGACGCCCTTTTCCCCACAACATCCCCAGACCGAGCTTTCACCACCTCCCCTTTCGTCGCCATCTCCGTCCTTGTCGCCGTCGTCGTCGGCTTCAATTTCCATCCTCGATCATTGCTGCTGGTCAAGGTATGACGACTGCTGGTGCCGCTGTCGGTGCCAGCCCTATACCACACGCCACGGTTATGTCCGCCACCATCGACTTCGAAGAGTTCTTGGAATACGACGAGGAAGGCTTCGGTGCCGCGAACTCGATGCCCAACTTCGACCTCTCCAATCCTAACGCCCTCAAGTTCCTCGAATCATCGCAGTCGCTGCACGAATCCAAGTCTCTCGAGCCCCAGGCCACCCTGCTGGCCAACGGCACCGTCGCCGCTGGATCACCCGACTCCCTCGTCGACTCATTCCGAGACTCGTCCTCCGATTCCGCCTCGTCAAAAAGGACCGGTAGCTCCGCCTCCGGAAAGACAGCTTTGACAGCGGGCGACGTGATGATGACAGATGGAGCCGATATCAAGCCTGACTGGGAGACTGCGGCCTTCGCCGACCGTCCGGAAGACAGCGTCTACCTTTTTGGCGGGAACGCCGACGCGACGCTGCCCGGCCTCGACATGGGCGACGACAGATTCATGGAAGAGTCGTTTGACTTCGAGAGCGCGTCCAGCAGTCCGGACGCTATCAGCGCTGTCAACATGGAATCACCCGAGATGCCCACCATTCACACCAATGGCCCGCAGAAGGCTCCGCCTCCGAGCAGTACCAGAGCCGGAAATCACGCCAAGAGGAATTCCGTGAGTCTTACGCTAAACGATATCGTGAGATTCGACTAACGTTTCCAGCAATACTCCATTTCGCAGCCCATGAACGGACTGAAAATGACCAACTCGAGGGAGTGCTCACCAATGTCTCAGAATTTGATAACGAGCCATGAGGCATCCCCTTCAGCCGCCTTCTTCAACAGCTCACCATCGCCGCGAGGCGCCGGTCAAGATTTTTCGAATGCCGCCACAATGAACGCTATGAACCCGAACGGATTTTGGCCGACGAAAATGGACCCCGCGCAACAACAAATGTTACACAACATGTCTATACAGTCTCAATTTCACGCACACGATGGTCTGCCAGTCATGCCACAACAGATGCCGATGTTCACCCAACCCAGCTACGACTTCCTGAACCGTGGGTGTCGGTTGACGATCCACCCGACACCAACAAAGTCCCGCGTCGAGACTCAGATTCCCATCAAGATGACTCTCTTCCCGCTTCCTCACGGCATCAAGCGCCTCCACCTGCCCACACATACCATTTCGAAGCCAAAGTTACTAGCGAAGCCACCAGTCGAGCGTTCTCAGGACACATTGGAGCTCTACACCATGCTAGTGTGCACTAGTGCCATGGTCAGCGAGGATAACAAGCGCAAGGCCTTCCAGCGCGCCGCAGCCGCCACCCACAGCCCTTCCTTGAACGCCCGATCTGCTAGTGAGGACGATGATGAGGAGAACAAGCCGCAGAACGGAGGCGAAGTTCGCATTTGCAACGGCTGCATCACGCGAGAGAGAAAGCGGGCGGCTAGAAAGAAGATCAAGAAGGTCGAAGAGGAAGAGATGTGGAATCGGGATGAGAACCGGCGCGTGATCGTCTTCAACACCCAGGAAATCAAGGAGTGGCAGACGCCCAATGGCGTCGTGTCTGACTCCACCGTGACAGGGCGACCAGAACCGGTAGCTCCTCCTGGAGCGATGCAGGTAGACGCGCCTATGCGCATTGCCTGTTACTGCCGCCACCATGCAGAGAAGCAGGGTTTCCAAGTCATCTTCACCATCAAGGACTGGCAAGACCGCGTTGTTGCCCAAGAAATATCTCAGTCGATCATGATTACCGACGATCACAAGACGCACCCATTGCCGTCATTGCCACCCGCTGCCTCGACCTCCGAGAACAACCTCGTGCCGATGATGAACACGCCGCTTGATACCAGCCCACTCAGCTCGGGGGCTGCTCCGTTCCGTCTGTCGCATTCCAGCTCCGATCTTCAAAGCTTGCAGCGTAACGCACCTCCGGCCCCGGCTCCGTCGTTCCCCGCTGCGAACGCCGTGGCTAAGCAGCCAGCCCCCGCACCTTCGACAACGAACGCTCGCTCTTTATCTCGGCCCCCGTCCCCAAGTTTACACGCCGGGCCGATGACAAAGAAGCGCAAGGCCAGCGGATCGAGGGTTCCTGCTCATATGACGATGACTCGCTTGGATACGACCCCGCCACCAACTCAGATGCCTGTCAATCCAGTGCCACCGGCAGCCTCTGCTTCCACATCGCCGTTCACGCCTAACCTCACCAACTTCCAGACTCCCCCTGATACTGTGTTCCAAAATGGAGCTCCGTCGAACATCCCACAGCCGTTCGCTACCGGTCCACCGACACCCAACAGTAACGACCAGACCTTGTTCACCAACGCCAACCGATCTGCCAGCATGGAAAATATGGCGATGCCCATGTTCTCAGCCCCTGCATCAGCCCACCAAAGTCGCGCTGCAAGCCCAAGTAGACTGGCAAACGGTGTGAACGCTGTACAACAAAGTCAATTCAATACCATGCAATATCTTCCTACTGCGGTTGCTCCAACACGGCCTCAGCCAACCATTCACAAAATCATTCCCAACGAAGGACCTAAGTGCGGTGGCATCGAGGTGACCATTCTTGGCGCGAGCTTCTACCAAGGCTTGGAGGTGCTATTCGGAGACCAGAAGGCCACAACCACCACCTTCTGGGGCGAGTCCTCCTTGGTGTGCCTCTTGCCACCGGCGCCTGTCGCTGGGCCAGTCGTGGTCACTTTCAAACAAAGCCAAGCTCAAGCCGGACAGCCCTTCAGTGCCCTCTCCAAGCAGAATCAAGTATTTAAGTATATTGATGACGACGAGGAGAAGCTCATTCGCACCGCGCTCTCGATTCTTGGCCACAAGATGTCTGGTCAGTTGGTTGACGTCAAGGAGCTTGCTCAACGCATCATTGGTCAAGGAGATTCCAGTTGGGGCGGTCCTGGCCCCTCGGGCAACGGTGGGTTTGGCGGAAACACTTTCAACATGAGCACGGAATCCCAGCTGTTGAAGTTGCTTGAGTTGATCGACCTTGATGACAACCCGAGGATGTCTCGCCTGGATCTTAGGAGAAACACAGGTCACACTATGCTGCACATGGGTTGCGCTCTGGGATACCATCGTTTCGTTGCTGGGTTGCTTGCGCGTGGTTCTAACCCGGACCTCCGGGACAAGGGCGGCTTTACTCCCATGCATCTGGCGGCGATGAACGACAACGAGTCCATCGTTCGCAAGCTCATGCAGGCTGGCGCTGACCCTACGATCCGTAGTCTTTCGGGACTGCGGCCGGCTGACGTTGCTCAATCACGCAAGGTGGTTGAGCACATCCGTCGCTGCGAGCGTCACATTCGGTCCCGCAGCGGAGGTTCTCTTCACAGCAGAGCCAGTAGTGCCGCTTCGCTGCGGTCTCTTTGGGACCCTCTCGGCATGTCCAGCGAGGAAGAGTCTGCAGACGACGGTGAGGAGAGCCCCGAATACTCATCTGGCGACTACGAGGACGAAGAAGAGGAGGAGGACTCATGGCTCGACATGCGGCGTCGTTCCAGTGGGCATGCGTTCACCCCTCGTCCAGACCGACAAGCACTGCAACGAGGTCACGATGAGGTTGAGCCAGGTCTCGCATCACCGACCACCGCCATAGCCTCGGCCGTGAGGGATCAGTTTGCTGCTCAGATTCAGCAGTTCCAGCAAGCGATGGCACATTTCCCCAACCTACCTCAAATGCCGGCATTGCCAAGGATGCCCATGTTGCCGGACTATCAGGCGTATCTTCAGCAGAACCCGTTCATGGGTAGAGTCACTTCGCTGATGCCTGGTATGTCAACCTCTAGACCAGGATCGTCAGGCGACGAAAACCCGAGACAAATGGACGGGCGTTGGTGGGATCTGTCAGCCTTTAGAACCACCAACAACAACTCAGCTCCGCCACCGGCGTACGACGAGATCTTCCCTCAGGAGGAGCTGGACCGCAAGCAAGCCGCGGCTTTGAACTCTGCTGCTGAGGCTGTTGCGGACAGATCTATCGCTGTCGGAACACAAATCACTGAGACCGTCGAGATATCGGAGGCTTCATCAAGCGCGACGCCAGTGCCGAGTGTGCTCAAGATCGGCCGCAAGAGTGCTATCACCAAAGAGCAGCAACAAAACTTCCTCAGGGCGCGCGAGGCCAAGTTCAAGGGGATGCGCAGCGACAAGAACTTGTGGTTCGTCTGGGTAAGTAAACCAACTCAATAGTCTCATCCAACACACGCTAACGTCCTTCAGATCCCGCTCCTCACCTGCATTTTGGGTGTGATGCTGTACAGTCGATTCCCTCAAAACTTCGCCATGCTTTGGGCCGTCATCCTTCGTTTGGCTGCAAAGTTTGACCAGGTGCCCGAGATGGTCAGAAATGTCCAGGACCGCGTCGTCGAGGTACTATGAATCATTTTATTGCATTGCAACCGCTTCGTTTTTACGAGAGACACAACAGAGTTCCTCCTTTATTCGCGCTTTCGGATCTACGAGATGGGGAGAAAAGGAGTTGGTGCGTCTGGGAAATGAGGAGCAATGTTCATTCAATTCCTCTAATGAGCATTGGTGGGGGGGACTTGGTGCGGCCGGGAGTGCCGTACCTTTCGTTCTGTGCAAGGCGGGAAGTCTCGGATATCGACATCGCACAGCCAACAGCGCGGCTTGTAGGGCAAAAAGCCAGTTTCCTTATCGTTTTCACGGAACCAGTAAGCCTCCTGACTGGGAACATTAGCTTCCATCTTTTCTTGATTTTTCTTCTTTCTTTGAGCTCTTCTTCAATCATTGGAGTATCGCGTGGGAAAGCCTCGGTCGACCGTTTTGCTGGGACGGAGGAGTAGATATCCAAGGAGGTCTTGATGACCTTGGGTAGATACGGGCGGTATGTAGTATATACACAGCGAAGTTACTGACGAGCTGCGTTGTCTTATATATATAGAGAGGGCGTAAATGTTTGTCGGTACAGGCCGTGGAATAATGTCACATTGGTACATTCAAAGAATCGTTTCGTTGCCGTGCTCATGCATGCAGGTTTGCTCTGTAAATGAAATGTAGCCATTGCACACACATGCAGATGGGCGACTTAGAATCCTTCAACGACAGGGGGCTTGGATGTGGACGTTTACTGGCCTTGAGGAAATGCTCACTCACGCTCGAAGGGTTGGTTGGTTGGCTGGTTGGTTGTGGCCTGGTGTTGTGGAGTGGAATATCAATGTCGTCGACGGGGTCAAGTTCGCACATATTCAGCCGAGTCATCCATCCCAATCCATACCACACGTCCCTATTCCATGACCAGACAGGCCACGAACAGAAACTCTACACAACTCTCTTCTCTCTCGCGCGCGCCATAGCATCTTCCGTCTCCTCAACAACACCAACACGTTTCACAAACGAAGACGGCACACTTGCACAAAACTCGAAACGTGTTTTTCCATAACCCCATACACATACACACAAACCCGACTTATTCCCTGTCCCGTATCGACACGTGCCAGTCATGTACAGCGAGCGCATCGTTACCGAGGGGGACAAGTAAAAAGACATTCGAAACCTCGTCAACCCCCATCCTGCCATACCCTCTCTCTCACTCTACTCCTCTCGGCGTAGGTGGGAAACTGGTGTAGAGGGAAAGAAAGGAAGTCGAGACCGCCGAATGTCGCTACATACACGAAGAGAGGAAGAGCCGTTCGTTCCTCCGAAAACATAAAAACCTCGCGGAGAGGTGCGGGCCCCAGTTACGGGATGCCTCCTCCTATCCCTCCCCCTTTTTCTTTTTTTTCCCTTTTCTCACACCACCGATCGTTCCTTTCCGAGTTTCATCCTGCCTCCAATCTGTCTTGTCTCACTTGGGATACCAACTTCCTCCTCATCATCATTGCGTTTACCGAGGGTCTCCCGCAAGGTCATGGAAACACACAAGATTGATAAAGAGTGCCTTCTCCCGATCCGAGGGACAGCATGGCAAAACAATGCGTCGTACTACGCGGTCGAATGCTGATTTCATAAAAAAGCAAAAGAAAGAATAGAGAGTGGTCATTTCATGTCGTCAAAGTCGTAAAGCTCGTTGAGATTCAAAGAACGCCAGACGCCACTTTCCACATCCAAATCCACCACATATGTAATGGGCCCGTCCACCAGTGCAAGAAGGCAGCAAACACTTCGCTTGCCTCTCGACTTAGGTGAACCGCATGCCTCTCCAGCGACCGGGAAGCTCGCGCTCCTGCACAGGGATGCTGTGGTGGTTCTCCCCCTCAAAGCCGAATGCGCCGTTGCTCTTGTACTGCTCAGGTACGCACGGCACGGAGGGGACGCCGTGGTTCGAGTTGGGTCGGAGGCCGAGAGGCTCTGCCGCTCTGCGGATGCCGCGCGACGTCCACGCCCGCGCGGACTCGACAAAAGACCGCCGCGAGTCATTCGAGTCGATGCTGCTACGGGTGCTGGCGGCGTAGAGCGGGTTCGGGGGTGCAAAGTCCGTGTCCATGGGGCCGGAGTACGAGGCCGACGGGGCATGTTTGGCGAGCTTGTTGCTCGCGCGGGCCGAGTTGCTGAATGATCGTCTGACGAAGACTCCACTGCGAGGGGGCGGCGGGGGCATGTAATTCGGCGGGGGAGGAGGGGCTGCGTAGTTGGGCGGCGGGGGAGGGGCCATCGATTCGGAGTGCGAATGCATGTGAGAGCGCGGTTTCCGTAGACCGGGGAGGGAGAGGTCGACAGAGATGCGTGAGGCAGACTTGCGCAGCTTCTTGACGGCAGACATCTCCTCCTCGTCTTCGAAGCCGAAACCGCGCTTGCGGTTGCCGTCGCGAGAGTCTGGCAGGGGTTCCACCTCGTCTTGCGTTGGAGGCAGGGGCCACTGCCCCGACATGCGCTCCGCAAACGACTTCTTGTCAACAGGGGGTTTGGTTGAGTACGTGGTGCTTGACGGAGCGATGTTTGGCGGAGGAGGCTGGCGCGTGGAGCGGATGGCGTGCGCGTCAAAGAAACCGTCCTTCATCAGCTGCTGGTAGCTGGCCATGATCTCCTCCCTAGAAGGCATGCCCGCACCGTTGGCTGGGGTCGGCGCCGGGACCGCGTTCGCACTGCCGAACCCTCCTGCTCCGCCTCCGGTGGCGAGAAGCTTGCCGTCCAGGCTGAGCGGGCGCTTAGCCCCCTTATCCTTATCCCTGACAAAGCTCAGCTTCTCGCGGAGACCACCCCAGAACCCCTTCTTTGCGATGTGGCTGCTAGCCGAACTGGCAGGCCTCTTAACCTCGCCATATGTGACCGTCGGCTGGTTCACGGAGGGGTGCTGTTGTTGCTGGTGGTGGTTTTGCGACGACAACAGCGACTGAGAAGACTTGTGGTGTTGAGGCTTGGGCGGGGAGAGGACGCCGGCGTCGGGGGCCTCGACGTAGAAATCCATGCGGAAGCGACGGGCAATCTCGGTCGAGTCTTCAGGGCCGAGGAAGTTGGGAGGTGGTGCGGCGGAGGTACGGTCGTTCATGGAGCCCTCGACGAAGCGGGAGTTTGCACGCTGCGTCGAGTTTGCGCGCTTAGCCGTAGGTCGCTGCGCAGATGCAAACGCATTCGTCGGGGGAGGGGCCATGACTGGGTGCGAGTTCAGAGGACCAGGGGGTTGAGGATCGTCGATTTGCATCATGGTTGATAACGGACGCGATTCGGTTGTGCTCGGGTTGTGAGCTGATCTGGTTCTCTTACTCAAGGTAGAAACAGAGCCCCCTCTGCCCTAGCTAACAAGATTGATCGTGGTCTCGCGACGAGAAGGGGGGTTGAAATGCGATCAGATGGTAGGTATTGAGAGGAGGGTGATTGTTGGTGGCAGCAAGGCAGCGAGCGCCCTTGGGTTTTTGTTTACTTGCCCGTGCCGTCGCACCATCCGCACCCACGCGCTCCCGCAACAGCAGCTTTTCGACTTCGGGCTTCTTCCTTGCACGTCTGGGACAGCAGCGGGTTGCGAAGTCGCAGAAAAAGGGATTGGAAAACCTGGAATTGGGTGAAGAAGGTTTATGAAGGGTGAGGCGAAAAGTGGGAAAAGCCAGGTTGAGAGGGAGTGGAAGGTAGGTGCGAGAGGGCGATGCGATGGGCTTGGGGTTGAATGTTGATCTTGTAGTATCGGCACTATTGGAAGGGCAACGCGCGATGGAGTTTGCGGTCGGCCGGGGATCGTTGCCCACAGCGAGGTACGCCGGACGCGAGGCCCAAAAGGTAGCGTCTGCCATTGGATTTGGAGGGGAGAGTGGCCCCCGTTGCTCGGGCAAACAAACGCGCCCACCACTGGCTGCGCTGCTAGACCCAGACGCGACCCTCCCGCGCTCCACTTGGCTTGCACCCGCAACTGGTGCCGCCCTCTTCCGCATCCCTCACCTTGCAATTGAATGATGGGGACTGGTCCGAGCTTGCATCGTTGAAGCACGTGACGCTTGGACCTTGGCCAGATAATCTACAAGTAAGCCATATCATGCTTCACGTTCTTCCAGAGGCGCCGCACAATCTTTGAGAACATCCTTACCTAGGTACCGTACGAGCACTGAATCACAGCCAGATGGGGGGTCCAACCCTCCCCACTTCGTTTATAACCTTACAGAAAAAGGGTTCACGTTCAAGATCGAGAGCATCAAGTTTCAAACGATATGCCTATTTTCCCCATAATGGATACCCAACTGTGACTGCTGCAGCATATCCATACCGCGTGATAAAAATGGTACAATACCCCAAAACCCTTTGACAGAGGAAATCAGGTCAGCAGATGATACATTACAACCACATCAAGTGTGTCCGCGTCTTCATTGCCCCGAGTCGTTTCTTTTTGTAATCCAATTTGAACCATGCCGCAACCCATTCCTTATCAGCCAAACCATTGTAGAAACACACAAAAGGGAAAAGGAAAAGGGGAAGCAATGCATAGAGAACATCGCCAACGTGGTGAGGGTTTTCGTGTATAGGATTGGGACACACAAATGAAAAGGCGTGTCGGAGACGCCACGTCAAAGTCCGTGATATTTACAGTCGAAGAGTAAAAGAAGTTGAAAGATCCTTCCGAATGCCATGGGGTGCCGGAAAACGCCTCGAGTCCAAGTACTCGCCCGCCCTTGGTGCCGATCATGCCGTATAAGCCAAAGTTCCCGTCCGCATTAGTCGTAGTCAAAACACCGTTATTTGTATGCATTCGCCCCCATCTATTGCTCGCTGTAGCTGCCATTCGGCTTGGTCACGGTTGTACCGCCAGCACGCTTGTAAGTCATGCTCTCGGCGTCACGGAGGCCGTACATGGGTGCGCGGTGATGAGGCTCGGACGGGCGCTGGCCGTCATACAGAGGGCGCTGATAGTCCTGGAAGGTGTCCGAGTAGCCGCGCTTGGAACCGGCGCGAGCCAGCTCCAAAGGAGGGGGCAGGTTGGGGCTGGCCTCGATAAT